AAAAGGTAAATATTTTCGGGAGGGCCGGCTGACGAATGTTTGCTGGGGGTTTCGCGGCAACTGATGAATCTGGGTGGGAGAAGTTCAACGTTAAGTATAACAAGCATTTCGGTACTAAGCGGAAAGAAAAAGAAAAAAACTATTTCGATAGCCCGAATTTTCTATTTACGTTATCTTCATTTTCACCCAGGTGTTGACCATTTTACTAACCTTTTTAGTAACTTTTTAGCCAGTCCTGTCCAGATTTATTAATTATTACTTATTAATTAAGATATATTTATTACTTCAAGGCAGGAAAACGAAATTTTTTTCTTCCCTAGTCGCCGAATAACTAAATCAACTATTTTGCTAGCATTTTACACCCTTTTAGCAAAAAATTCAGGCTTTTCGGTCAAAACAGGTTTAGAAAAGGGTTAAAAACTATTTAATCTACTCATTTTACTAACACCAACGCTAAAAATTGGCTTGGAAACGGCCAGGAAACGGTCTTAGAAGATTGAAAAGGTGTCTTCACATAATTCTCTCCTTAGTAACTCCAACGCTATCGGCCTGTCCAGTTTTCAAAAACCTAAAATAAACAGTTTGTCCTTTCCGGGCGATCAAAAAGAGTCCCAAAATGGTCAGCCAAAAAGTAAAAGTTGCCCAATAATGCCAATATTTGATCTGGCGGAACCGTTGACACGTTGTGCAGGCCCGCCGGGTCGATTACCGCTCATGCGGTGCGAATGGTGGGACTATCGAGGGAACGGGGGCTTGTTGAGTGAAGCATGATGGGGCAGAGGAAGTAGAAAAAAGACGAGTGCAGCTGGACGAGGCAGGCAGCTGGGTAAAGCGGTGGTGGGGATCCCCGGGGGCACTCATGATAGCCGTAGAAATCGGGAGGGCTGTCATTGGAGGGAGGAACATGATTCGCATTATGAGGGGAGCTCGTTGAGATGAGTGCCGACATGAGGACGGCCGGATTGGGGGAGATGTTGGAGAAGAAGCCGATCGGTGGCAACCAGGGTCCGGCCGGCTTTTTCTAGTATTGGGGTCCCCGTTCGTGGGTGCACTCAACCTAATAATCTGCGCCTGCTTCACGTGCAAATCACTTGAGACTTTCCCCGGGCCCGCTCGCTAACAAGAAGTACATGGAAAGTGGTGGTGATGGACGGTTGTTTTAGGTGATAAAGGTGCATGTTTTTCTAGTAAAACACCATTATTTTTCTAGAAACAGAGGATTTAATAAAATTGAGCTTTGGCCCGTATACTAAAAGATGAAGCTTTTTAAAGTAAACCAGGGTTGAAAAGCCGCTTCGCGACTTTTCAACCCTGGTCCCCGTCTTACCCCCATACTTCATCGCTTTGCATAAACCCCTGAATTCCTGTGCAGAAAAATGAAAACCGCGTCCTCTCGCCCAAGATATAGGCTTCCCCCCTTCCGGTGCATGCAAATTGATTCCTAACAAAGAGGCCGAGCGAGAGTTTCACAAAAACTGAATTTAAATATCGAAAACAGCTGGTTTTAAAAATCTGATATGCGTGCAGTCGTGTCATGACCATTACGCACCTAATGACGTATCATACGTACCTTTAACTTCCTCCCCTATTGAGATACGACCGGAACATACGGACGGAAGTTGCATGCAAATGCACACACACACACACACACACACAAACACTATTTTTTTTATATATAGTAGGATTCAAGATAATAGATTTTTCTAATTATAATAAATTAAATTCTACAAATTAAAAAAAGTTTTGAGGAAATTGTTCCGAGCCGCTCCAATTAACGGTAGTACGAATTATACACATTACAGAGGAGCGGAAATAGGTATGAACGGAACGTGATTTTATTTTCAGTTCCACAAAAACGCTAGAAATCAAAACTTTTGATCCGTTATAACGCTTTGAGGATTTAGATTCTCGAAAAACAGGTGGTTCGACATAAAAAATTCAAAAAACGAAGTTTATGCAGGAATTTTTGCGAGCCTCTCCAATTAACGAGAGTACGAACTGTACACCTTACAGCGGGTCGTAAATAGGTGTGGACGGAATTTTTCAGTACCATCAAAAAGACTAAAATCAACTTGCGAAACTTTCTAACCTTTTCCAAGTTTTAAATTTTCTAAGAAAGAACTGCCTAGTTGCGTAGATCGAAATTTTTCTCAAAATCCCCCACGCCTCAGCCACATTTTGGACTTTCTCGAACACCCCGCTAAACCGGTATTTGCACAAAATTCCTCGGGCGTGACGCAGGCATTTGTAAGCAAAAATGGGCATGAAAAACGAAGAGGGGTGTGGCGGTGGTGCCCGAAATCCAAGAAGGTGTATATGTGTGCCGGGCCGCTCCCACGAAAAAGCGCCGATGGCGAGGCCATTGGACACGCATGTGCGCCGTGTTCGCGAACAGCGATGATGATCGCGAGGGGTTCACATGGTCGGGCTTGTTGGTATGAACGGTTCTAGTCCGTTAGCGGGGGAGGCATTTTTGTAGGAGGAGAAAAATCAGAAAAAACCAATTTTTTTTCCTAGGGATCCTATTTTACGAATATAAATAGAGGAAGCGTTTCTCAACGGGTTTTTTCAATAGCCCTCAACGTAAAATGTACAAAGTGTCATTAAAAATAGCAAATATATTAATTTTTAGACCCAGAATGGTCCATTTTTTATCAAAATTCCGACTCAAAATTTTTTCGACGTTTTTTTTGGTTTTCCACTTCAAATAAAATTTACGGATTTATAGGCAACAGTTAAGTTTGGTTCTAACAATTTTTTCGTTTTCTCCTAATTTTTTGGTAAACGGCATCGGTTAAAAACGCTATAAAAATGGTCGAGATCTTGTCACAATAAAGCCTGGGCTGTATAAAAGTATTCACGCCCCCCCGCTAACAAACCAGAACCGTGGCGGCGCGCAATATGGAAAATCGAGCCGCGTCGGAATATGATGGGGGGAGGATGAGATGGGGTGGATCGGATGGATGCGAGCTCCACATTTCGGGGTCACTTAATGAGATCCATTGCCGAGCGAGCGCGCCCCGCGCCGCGCACCATTCAACCCATAGCTGGGGATCGGGTTGCGTTCTTCTTCTCGGATGGAGCTCAGATTGGATCGGGTTGTGTATGTGATACTTGGGGGGAAACCCTTCGAGGGTCTCCTTCTAGAGTAGAGCTCTACTCTGTGAAATATTTATAAGGGGGTAGGAAAGAGGTAGAGGCCAAAATAAGGGGGCTCGAGAAACGGACCCGGTCGGTTGTTAGCGGAATTAGGAAGGTGGGGGGTAGGGCCAATCGGGTTGGGTTTTGGCAAGAAGCCGGGGTTCTGGACTGTTAACGGGGGGGGGACCAAGTTTTCCCAGTAATTATCTACGCGACCCTATAAATATAACCGATTTTTATAGCATTTTTATAGTTTTAGATCGAAATTTTTTTTAGCTTTTTGGTCAAAAATGTATGAAAACAAGGCCAAAAAGTCAACATTTTCGAATTTCCAAATAACAAAATCTATTTTTTATAGCTTAGTTTTGACGAATTTCTGGGGGAGAATAATTTTGCCCGGACGGGTAGTTTGTAGTTTCTAGTAGCTTAAAAAAAATCGATTGGTTACAAAATTTATAAAATTGATGAAACATAGTTTTTTTAACCATTTTCGTGTTTCTAAAAGTTAAAGTTTACGGTTTTTTAGTGTAAGAATCCGTTGTTGTAGGAATTTTTTGTAAATTCAAAAGAGGTCATAGCGTATATTTTTAGCTCCTAAAAATAGTCAAAATAGGTATGAAATCTCGCTAAATCTGGCACCTTTCCAGGTTTTTAAAAGGGCTCAATCGTGCTGATTAATATTATGCTATTTAGAGGTCACTTCATCTTCCAAATCCCTTTAAAAACAGAAAAATTCAAAAAATCCACAGCATGGAGGTCAAGAAATAGGACCCTCAGAATTGTTGTGTGTGAATTGTGTGAATTCTCTCCTTTCCTCTCGTTTTGGGGTGACCCCGGACAACGGGGGCCAAATTTGAAGGTCATTAGCGAGATTGGTTTTGGCATTCCGGCCAATGGGTGGGGCCCACGTAAAGAGGAAAGAGACGGAATCGAACAGCTGTTTCTCTCTCTCTCTCTCTCTCTCTCTCTCTCTCTCTCTCTCTCTCTAGCAGCTTTCTGCCTTTTGCGGCTAGATTTGTGGCCTTGCCTAGCGGACAGTTTGTTTGTACGACGTTTTTTTTGGGGTATGTGGGAAAGAAAAACATCTTTAGAAAATTCTAGAGAGGGTTTTTGGCGACTTAAAGACCCGGGAAATGGTTTAGCTACGCGATACGCCTATGTACGGATTTCGACAATTTTTGGTACATCGTAAAATTTCTGATTTCCAGCCGGTTCTGAAAAACAACTTTTCTAGCTCAATTTTTGACGCTGATCTCGAATCTGGGTCCAAATTTGGTCTAGCAGCTTTCGTTTTCAAGATATAATTCATTTTCCGCAACAATACCCAAAAAAGAGGAATTTTTTTAGTTTTTAAGGAATTTAAACGATCAAAATAAGATGAAAAATATTATAAATAACGCCATAGGCTAGAGGGGAGATCGTAGATTCGGAATCAGCGTTAAAAACTGGTCCTGGAAACGGGTTTTTCAGAATTTGACTAAATTTAAAAATTCGCAAAAGGTTGCAAAGTCCGTACATAGGTGTCTTTCGTAGCCGAAATTTCGGAATTCTGCAAGCCAAGAGACCTTAAAGCAGAGCCCAAGAAACCATTTAAAACCCGAAATAGTACGAATGTTTCCCGGTGAACACCTCAAAATATACTAGGGGGAATAGCGAGGCGTAGCCGTGGAGGGGGCCATTGTCCCGCTTCTCCTCCTTCGCCGCGCCGTCGGAAGGGGATGAGTGCGTAAAGTGCCGCAGGGGCTGACGATTCATTCATTGGCACGAATTAGTTGCGCGCATCGGCGAGAGAGAGAGAGGGAGCGAGAGAGAGATAGAGAGTTAGAGAGGGAGAGATAGAGAGCAAGTTTTCGAGCTTACCGTATCCGTTCCGGTGTGTGCCCGTTAGAGGCGAACCCGTTCATCTGTTGATGGTCGCTGCTCGTCATCATCTGGAAAATTGGCGATTTTAAAGTGTTTAAAAGAGTTTTTTTGCGTTTTTGAGAGATTTGTAGGAAGCGTGTCAGCTTGGCCAGGAGCCGGACGTACCTGTCTGAATCGGCTATTCATCCTGTGCTGTCGGAATGCGCGTTGAATGCGTACTGCTGCAGCATGGGCCTGCTCTCGGCCACCGTAGCGCTTCTCGAGCACCTGGAAAATTATTGGAGTTTGATTGTCAAAAAAGTCACTGATTAAGCAGGCTAGCAGAGATTTTTATAGCATCTGGCGCGGTAGCATAGATTCTTTAGGAAGCTGCCCCGGCTAGCAATAAAAGAAAAGAGCAGCAGGTCAACTAGCAGCAATTTCCAAGGAAATCGAGCAAGCCAGCAAGAATTTTTGAGGCAGTCGATTCGCTAGACGATATTTTCTGGACATTAAATAAGCCCAGAAATATCGTTTAGGAAAAAATAGGCTAGCCGAGTGCCTGTAGAAAACTGGCAAGCTAGCAAAGGCCCTTGAGGAGGCGGGCTAGTAGAGATCCTTGCGGAAACGGGAAAGCTAGCAGCAATTCTTTGGGAAGTGAACAATCTAGCAGGGGTCCTTGTGGAAATCAGCATGCTAGCACTGGTCCTTGTGGAGGCCGGCTAGCAAAGATTATTTGGGAGGTCAGTAGAGAGCAGAATTCCTTGAGGATATCTGCAGGCTAGCAAAGGTCCTTGAGGAGGCGGGCTAGCATGGATATTTGAGGAACGGGCAAGCCAGCAAGGATCTTGGACGAACGGGCCGGCTAGCAGAGATCTTTGAAGAAACCGGAAAACAAACAGAGATTCTTGAGGAAACGTAAAAGCTAGCAGAGATTCTTTGCGATTGCTCGAGCAAACAAGCATCGTAGCAAATATACTTTCGAGCTGGGCCAGCTAGCAGAGATTTTTGGGGAAATAGGATTCAAATTCCTTGCCAGGTTGGCTGATTTGAAACGGGTGCCTTTCCAAATGACAAGCCCGAAAAAACTGCACACATGGCCCGGAGGGGCATGCAAAGGTTGAGCATGGGAAAATGCGGAGAGAGAGAGAAAAGAGAGAGAGAGAGAGAGAAGCAAAAGCGCGCACAAATCTATATATCAAAAGCGACGCAGGCGAGTGACGGACAAGAAGAAGGAGAAGGAGAATAAGGTGAATGGCTGAATGCCAGCCCTCTATCCAGAGCAGTCCTGCTCCTTCTCCTGCTCCTTTTCCATTCAAATACGAACAAAACGGCCCGGGGGGTGTTGTGCTTTTGCTCCCCGTCGAGCAGTTTGAGGGTTTTCGCGGCGGGCAGCAATGTGGACAATGGCCGAAATGGGCTTTGTTTTTCGGAAGAATCTAGGGGTGAAATCTGGGTTTCGTGTGTAGTTTTAAAGGGACTGTGAAGGGCTGATTCGGGTTTTCCGAAATGGTTTCCTTAAAAAATTCACTGGGCTACGATACGCGAGGCGCGCTTTTCCTTGCGTAATCGAAGATCGAGGGTACCTACGTGCGTTACGTGTAAAATCCCGAAAACCGCTGAAAAGTACCGTAATCTTATAGGATAATTCAAAATTGCATGAAACTACGCAAGACTACGTTACATTCCGCCGTACAGACCGGAAACCGAGGACCAAATCAATGGCATAATCGCTAAAATCGAGGTGTCGGTGGGGGAGGACAGTTTTGGAAAAGTTGGTGAGGGCTGCAGGCAGCAGGGGCGGTGTGGGGGTGAAGTCAGTAAAAACGAGGATAAAAACAACCGTTTCGCGCCCGAGCCTCGCTTAATTGGGAGGAGAGAGAGAGCGAGGGAGAGAGAGAGTGAGAGAGACAGACAGACAGCCATCACTGAGCAACAGCATTGTCAGGGTATTTTGGCCGTAACTGGGAGCGGTCAGCAAAGAGGGGAGTCGGACTAAATTCCGCGCCCAGAAAAAAGGAATGATTTCTGGGAAAAAGAGGGAGGCAAATAGTCACCAAATTCAAGGCCGGCCACACCTGCAACGTTTGGAGCCCAAACTTTTAGGTGAGCACGAGGAAATCAAACAACAG